ACACTGGTAGAAGCAATGTTGTATGCTAGTTGTTTGATATGCCGCTCACTTCTGTAATACAGCTAGAAGGTGTAGCTGTTCACCAGTGGTTTACATTTTTTCGTGAAGGACTAGTGTACCACTGGCTTACGTTTATCTAGTCACATGATAACCACCACTAAAATATGGGCAAAATTACACAACGTGTGTTCTATTAATTGTCTAGTTTATTATACAATAAAACTCGATATAACGAACCGCCAAAACAGATATCGTTTATTAAAGTGTTTTGATACATCGGAGATTATTAGTAATCTCACGATAAAGTCTATAACAGACTTCTATACGTTGTTATAATATGTTTGATATAAACGGACGCATTATAGTCTGACCAATCATTTGTATCAATTTATTCGAGCATAAAAATCGAATGATCATAAACATTCTGCTTCAAAATGAAAATTAATATTTGTCATAATTAACTCTGCAGCGAAAATGTTGCAATAAACTCAATTAGGCATAGCTGGAGTAAAACCGATTATGATATTCTCCCTCCTGCGTAGGACTTGATAGTGTGGTGAAATACCCATGGCATGGTTGGCGTGCTTTTTTGAGACGTTTCACAATCAATTTGTTTGTTAACGTCATACTGAACGATTAAATTTTTATTTATCCCATGACATCATTATGATGTTGACATGTAGCGATATTAAGTGGATATTTATGCTGTCATATTCTGTAGCAATATAATAATTGTGCCAATGAAATAAAGCATTTTCGTAACAATATTAATATCATATGTATTCGTGACTATAAAATTACAAATTATTATGTAAGATTCAGCATCAACGGCTGGACTTGATCGCGAAATAAATAGTCATTAATTGCAACGGATCAATATCATAAGTTATAGTAACGAACGCATCTTCCAACTCACCTCAATGTCTGTCAACTCACAAAAAGATAAAATCAGATGTTTCTGCTCAAAATGCAAGATAGGTGGTGGTAAAACTATCAGTAGGCGCACATATGCATTACATTCTAAAAATGACATAATACCTCAGTCAAATCAATCGAATATTATAATCCAGAACGACGTTACTATTCCTGATAGTATTCTTGTAAATGAATTGCAATCTACTGTCTCATCATCTGAGCATATTGTTTCCAATAGTAATAGTACAGAATCTCCAGCGAAAAGACATTGCATAAGAGGAGCGTTAACAAATCTTCATGAATATGAAGGTAATGACAATGACAGCGATGAGGATAACTCACCAGGGAACTCTCCATATGGAACAGAGAGTGAGATTCAGTTAGTAGACGTGGATAATGAAAATGAAGATATTAATATCATCCCTACCATAACCAGTTCATCTAACTGGAGACCATCATATAGACATGTCAAGCTACCATCTACACCACCAGTGCTTTCTCAGAGTCTAGCAATCAGATGGGTATTGTTTTGGGTATTCACCTTCCAGCAAGCTTTTGCATTACCAAAGGCAGCAATTTCTAGTTTACTAAATTTCCTCAGCTTTTTGTTCCTGAAACTAAACAATAATGAGTACGAAGGATTTCCTGGCACTATATACAAAGCATATAATATGTTCAATTACGATGATGAAATATGCAAGTACTATGTCTGTCCCCAGTGTCACTCACTCTATAATCCGAAAACAACTCCCTTAAACACTGATGACCATACACAGTGTACAAAAGCAGATTGTAAGACATTATTAACAAAGGCTGTCCGAACAAGCAAGTCACCGATGAAATATAAGGTAATATTAATAATCTAACTATTTATCAAAATTTGTTAACAATATTAAATATGTTACTTTCAGCCTATTAGAGTTTATCCATACAAGGGCATTATGCGGCACTTAGCAATATTACTACAGACACCTGATTTCGAACAATTGCTGGAACATCCATATGAATACAACTCAATTCCTGGGGTCTTATCTGATATATATGATGGTCGCATATGGAAAGAATTTAAAGATGACTGTGGGGAACTGTTCTTTATTAGAAGTGAAACAGATATCAAATTAGGCTTTAGTTTAAACGTGGATTGGTTTTGTCCAAGCAAACACATTAGGACATCAGTTGGTGCAATATACCTTTCTATACTTAATCTTCCTCGACATCTTCGCTATAAAAAGATATATACTTTGCTAATAAGTATTATACCAGGACCTCATGAACCTGATGCTGATCAAATTCAAAATTACCTTGAACCCTTTGTCGATGAGTTACAGCAGCTATGGCAGGGACAACTTTTTCTTACAAGAAATTTTCCTACAGGAAAAATGGTTCGCGGTGCATTGGTTTTAATTGCTTGTGATGTACCTGCAGCACGCAAAGTAGGCGTTCAATGAACTCTCTTTTTTTTTTCAAATGCTAAGATTATACTTGCTAATATTATTAAATATGTTTAAATGCAGATTTGCGGATTTGCAGGACATTCTTCAAAATTTGCCTGCTACAAGTGCACTCAGGTATTTAAATGTTTTCAAAACTCATCTAAGCTAAATTCTAGGCGACCGGTGACAACTCGTCAATAAGTACCAGTGATTTCTATTCTGTATATCCAAGGAAAAATATAGACGAATACAAAGCATTAGCATATGCTTACAGATTCGGTAGCAAGGCAGAACGTCAGAATATCTTCAATAAATACGGAATTAGGTGGTCTGAACTACATCGGTTACCTTACTTCGATGCCTTTCGCTTTACATGCATTGATCCTATGCATAACCTTTTCCTGGGAACCTCGAAAAGAATGTTAGAAAAGGCATGGTTATCCACGAACAGAATCAACAACAAACAATTAAAATCAATTCAGAGGATCATCGATTCAATACCCGTACCATCAGATATCGGCCGAATTCCGCACAAGATTGCATCGGGATTTGCAGGCTTTACTGCTGACCAATGGAAAACGTGGGTATTGATATATTCAACATGTGCCTTACGTGACATTCTCGAAGAAGATGATAGGCGGTGCTGGCAGCATTTTGTCAGGTGTGTTACATTATGGAGTCAGAGAATAGTGACGATTAATGAAGTAGACCAGGGCGAAGAGCATATGTTAGCATTTTTACGCGAAGCAGAAAGCTTGTATGGTGAGCGTCTTATTACGCCTAATATGCACTTTCATACACACCTGCGAGAATGCATCGTCGATTATGGACCTTTTTATAGCTTTTGGTGTTTCGCTTATGAGCGTATGAATGGGTAAATAAGAAACTAATTGTTTTGCGGTTTATTACGTATTAATATCTCATCTCATCCGACATTCATTCTTGACTTTTAAGGGATCTTGTCCTACAACCAAACTCGAATCGATCAATGGAGATAGAGGTGATGGCAAGAATTAACCATCAGGTTAACGTGGCACATGCATTTACCGCAGCATCAAACGAAATTCCACATGATATCGTAGTATTGATCAACTCACTTTGTTCACCCATTAATAACGGAAGAGGAACCCTAAGGAATTACAATTTTGCAGCTGAAGAAATGCTTGCTTTTCGGGAGATGTCTCTACTTCTTAGTGCTATAAATGTCACGGGAACCGAACGCTTTCCAGGGGAATTGAGCGGACGTTATTATGAAGCAACATTAGATGGTAGGATGTTGGACTTGTTGAAGGACTACTATGAGATGGTGTATGCAGATTGTGGCTATAAGTTCCGTAATGGAATTAACGATATAAGCGGAAGTTGTATCTATGTATCTTCAACTATTTTTCAAGCAAGTGCCTTACGTGTTGGTGATGAAAGTTTTGGATCTTTGTTGTCTGGGTCAGATTTAAATGCGTGCGTTATTGCAGGTTTCTTGAACGATGAGGATAATGTCTCTTATTACCCAGGAGAGGTTGTCTACTATTTTAGGCATCGTTTGACGCTGCCGGAAATGAATTCACAGAGTGCTAACACGCGGATTGCTGATCATTATTTATGCGTAGTTGATTGGTATAAGCCATCCAGACATCGAGCGTATTTTAATGTACCTTCGCAACAGCAACTACTTACTGATGAGGGCGATTTTGAAAAACTTTATCACACAGAGCTTTGGGGTGCCAAATGTACAAGAGGAACGTACGAAAATATTCTACCAGTCCAGCGGCTAGTCTGTCGTTTTGTGAAAGGAGAGTATCAAGTAAAAGGACAACAAGACAAATTGAACGTCGTTATACCCCTGCGCCGAAAATGTTCATTTTAATTAACAATAGCAAATACTTATTCAAGTAGCACAGTACAGCAAGTGTAACCAATTTTAAAGACAAATTTTCCTTTACTTGTACTACAAACAAGTTTCCGTAAACAATACTGCAAATATAACACTTTTTTGTAATCAGTAGTCTGGGCTCTATTTATTGCTGACATTAATTACGCCGCACTCAAGTATTATTGGCCCTTAATTATTATTGGTGCAAGTCTTATTGGAATACTATATTAGTATTAGTTTACAAACAATGACGCATTATTTTCTTTTACGCGCGGACGGCCCCATCTTTTGCTCTCGCGCTCTTCCCTCACTATTATTTTTCTCAACACTAATACTTGGAAAGCTATGAGAAACAGACGCAACAACAATACTGCTGAACTTACTATCTCTCAGGATGAACCCGATTCTCTTACGCAAGAAATGAGGGATTTGGTAAAAAAAAGAGACTTTGACGAGTTTGCAGTAACGCAAGTCAGAGCCACTACTCAGCTTTTGAATAAGTTACGAAGAATAGAGGAAGACATTGAAGAGCTAAATAGTAAACAAAAGCTATTTCTCGATAGCATCAAAGAAAATATTGATAGTGTTTTAGAGGCTGTCGATAGCTTCAATAAGATTAATAATAACGACAATTCATCATCGTTTTCTTCAAGCTCTTCTTCACCGCCAAAAATCTTGTATACTGTGCTTACTAAAAAGATGAGTAGCATTCATAAGCGTGCAAAATTAGTTGAAGAAGGTGTATTGTCTGACAATGCGCAATTGGATGTGGGGCTTGTGTACAATCTAAATTCGCGGTTTACTGATGACAGAAACGAACTTGTAACGGAGGCGTATGTGAAGGCAATGGAGGAAGAGCATAAAATCCAGGATGAAGACGTGCGTAAGTACTCTAAAATGTTTTGTTCAGTGATTACTTGATCTAATGCGTTATTTATTAGGTCGTAGGGAGAGTTGGAATAGATATAATGTAAGACGAATAGCGCAGACGTATTTTGCAACACTAAAACGTGCAGCGGGAAAATCAGGAGAGAAAATCAAAAACGAAACGACGAGGAGCAGGCGAAATAAACGGTTAATAGATGTAAGTGATTTATTATTATTATATCGCAAATGCAATGATGATATGCGAAATGTCTTGCTTCAAAAATATTTCTGAATCGTTTATTGACTTCGCAATAAATATACAAACAAAACAAGTGTTAGGTCAAGGATAGGAGCACTGAAAAAACTAATAAGCACATTTATTATACGTAACTTTTTTCTTTTTTTTCTTTTCCCTTTCAATTTCTTTAGAAATCAAAAAAATATGGTGATGCTATCGATCGTTTAGAAGGAATTTTATGCCGTCCTGTAAGCGAAGTTAAGAAAGCATTCACAAGTGAAGTTTGCTCACCTGAAATTAGCGGAGATGAAAACGGAGTACGTGTGAGATATGTACCTGTCCTGCCATTCCGCTCCGATGAGGTAAATTAAATGGGTAGACAATCATTTCGCCGACAATCATTTCGCCGACAATCATTTTCACCGACAATCATTTCATCGACAAATGTTTGCCAACATTATTTCGAAATTATCCGTTTTAGGTAATTAATGTCGGCGAAATAAACTGTCGGTGAAACGATACGGACCCAATTAAATTTGAATCACTTGATAGTCAGTTGATTATTTGCTAACAATTTGTTGTATATGAATATAGGCTTTGAACATTCGTGATAAAATAGTCGATGAAGTTGAACGATTCAGAAGAGCGGAGATGAAGAAAAAAGGAAAGCATTTGCGCAGTTGTCCCGATAAACGAATTACTGTGAACACTTACGAAAGAAAATATGAAGAACTGAAAGAAATAATTCCTAAACCTTCTGACACGTATCCTATCTGGGCTCTTCGCGAGCATATTGAAAGATAGTAACAGTAATTATTGCATTTTGACAAAGTAATAACAGAACTGACAAATAATAAACCACTATAAGGTTATCTTGTACTCCTATTGGTTAATTCTGGCAGAATTTAGGAAGCTAAATTCGTTAAATATACAACTAAATAAATCATAACATTTACAAAGCGTATTAGTTTGCTATGAGTTTACACAATGTATGTAATATATTTTACTATAGTAAGCTACATGCCCGTTTGCTTTTACTACTATCAATTACCTCTGTCAAACCACTGACATTTCTGCAGTTTATGCTAGTCATTTACAAAGTATAAACTTCTGGC